TCTTTGCCCCTATAAATACCCACACTTGGGTGAATTTTTCCCTTTTCTCCACTGTCGCATTCCGTCGCACTAGAGCTTCCTGCAATCGTCGAGCATCCAGCAATCTTGAATCCTCCATCTTCTCAGCAGATTCTCCGCCGCCCACCGTGAGTAAGTATTCTTTGTCCTTCGATTTGTGTTTGTTAACTTTTAATTTTTGGGTTCTTCCTCCTTTTCTCGAACCTCTTCTCGATTCTGGCTCCGTCCATTGTTCGTCCTTCCCGCTGTGCTTTTCTTCACTTTTTTCCGCCTTCTTCTCTGCTTTTGCTCTTTCCTTCGATTAATTATAGTTTTTCTTCCTTTTATCTCAGATTCTGCTACTTCGAGTGAGAATGACCGACACAGCGGGAAGGACCTAACTCCCCCTTCTTCTTCTGCGACCCTCAGCCTATCGAGCGATTCTGTGCAAGAGATTCTTCAACCTGAGCCCATTTCCGTTCTTCCCCCTGTGACGACCAGCGATAGCCCTACAGCCACTGCCATCTCTCCCTCCACCTATCTTGTCGACCAGCCTGAAGATGAGCTAACCAGTCGCCCTCCTTCTCCTCCCGCCGAGCGTGCTCGTCGAGCTATCGGTCAGGATGACGAGATTGAAGACGAGGATGATCCTCAAGACCATGTCCTGCTGTCTGCTCGCGTTCCCGTTTCTTCGACCATGCCCTCTCACTCTCCTCAACCTAAGCCATCCAAACGGTCCAAACCCTCTAAACCATCTTCGAGTGCTTCCCGTCTCGACTTTGATGCAATTGGCCATCCTGGGACCGCTCGCACTCCTGATGACGATGATACCTTCGATAACCCTCCTGAGGGCTATTACACTTTCTTCCGCGCCCATTTCGACCTAGGCCTCTGTTTCCTTATATGCCCAGCCTTGCTCGACCTGTGCGGCCTATACGGCCTGCCTCTCAACCAAATCACCCCCAACGCTTATAGGACATTAGCGTCCTTTATTATTTTGTCCATAGTTCGCATGGGTAGAGTAGATT